GTGTGTGTGTGTGTGTGTGTGTGTGTGTGTGTGTGTGTGTGTGTGTGGTAGAGTCTGAATGTAGGTCTATTACAATCTCATTTTTACAATGTTACCAGTTGTAAGGAAAAAAAAAATCAGTCTCATTACTTTCTAGACATACCACGTATGTAAAAAATACAATATTCTTATATATTTTTAACATTTTAATATTTTAATATTTATATTGATAAGTTTGCTTCTGTAATATTTCTAAATTTTATATACATAGCTATATCTAATGCAACAAACAATATTTTCAGAAAATGGTATTAAACTAACAATTTCTTAATAAAATTTAAATCTTTAATAGGCATCTATTTCTATGTTGTATATTAGATGTATATTCAATTTTAAAAATTTAATATAGTTTTCAATGATTATTTGTAAATCTTATTGTATAATATACTTTTTAGAGTCATATTTGGTACCTGCTGGAACAATGGTGAATATTTATATTTACGCAGTCCACAGAGATCCGAATTTTTGGCCAAATCCAGAAGTATTTGATCCCGATAGATTCTTGCCAGAAAGAATCCGAAATCGTCATCCTTATTCGTATTTACCATTCAGTGCTGGACCACGTAACTGCATCGGTAAGCTGCATCTGTTATACCTTAATATACAATGCAGTGTTATATAAACAGATTACAATACGTACCAAATTATAGGCCAACGATTTGCTATGCTGGAATTAAAGGCAATGATAGCTCCTCTGGTACACAATTTCTACTTGGAGCCCATTGATTATTTAAAGAATCTTCGGCTGAAAGTTGATTTGGTCATTCGCGTTGATCTACTTCGTGTAAAATTTATCCCTGTCTATAAAACAAATGTAACTCTTTAAAGCAAATATCGCCTTAATGAAGATCATAAAAGACAAAGAGAAGGCTTTATTTGCTTACAAAACGATTGCCACAGCGTCGTAATAGTAACACTTTATATTCATTACATTTCATTATCGCTTATTAGGGGAGACCGGGGCTATATATGTGTCCACGTTTTTTTCAAGTTTACTAAAAAACTAATAAAGATATTTGGCTAAAATTTTAATGGTATAATCTTTCAACCTTGCTATTAAAAAAAACATAAGTAGAATCATTGATCCTTTAACATTTTAAAGAGGCGAATTTTTTAAGTGGACAAGTCAAGCGTAGACAGATAGCCCCATATGCAAGGCTATCTGTTCACATTCGAGAGGCTATCTGTCCACATAATAAAAAACACATTGATTATATTAATTTCT